AAAGCAGAGGCACATTTGGGAACACTATTCCCTGGAAAGTTTACCAGGCTTCCAGGAGATGGGCTTCAAGCCAATTTTAAGAGTAATCACATAAGCTGAGAAATTTTAACTCTTTGCTACTGGCTCCTCTGTTCTGACTAATTCCTCTCAATCTAATGGCTTCTGTCTCGGGCCCTACAATATAGTATGTCAGCATGAAATTACACCACCATTAATTGGATATTTGCCATCAATTTCTCCTTCATTGTCACTGAGAGACTTCATAAAGGAATATGTTTGAAAAGCTCTGGGGCAATAATTTTATCTCTTTTTGAAGTTGCACTTAGAAACCTCTGCTTGTATAAGTGCATTTTTATATCCAGAAGCAACTGGCTTTTCTCTACCCTGCAGGCTTCCAAATTATGATCTTCTCAGTCATTTACATGGCAGGACACAGGTATTGTGATCCCCTCTTGGCATAGCTGTGCTCCCTTGTATCTCTACGTACAGATTGTCTAGCTGTACTTTGAGTGCACCTCTACTGTAGTATATTTTTGAAAGCAGAGGTTTAATAAGCATACGCCAACATTCTGAATTTTATTTCTACCATTCATACTAAGAAAAAAGCTTCAGTTGGCATATTGTTGGAATTCCAAGGTATAGCGAGCAACATTTTGACTAACTTTTCTGCCGTTGCATTTTTAAGTGCATTGGTTTTTCAGCCTGAGGTAGTTAAATCTTTACTGTCTTCCCATATCCTCTCACAGAGTCAGTTCCTCATTTTAAGTTCTGTTATTGCAACTCCCTTAAATTCTTTTAAAATTACTGTTAGTCAGTATCCTTAGTTGCAAATAACAGAGTTTGCTTTAGTTATCCTATGTAGAAAAATATTATTTCATAGTCTTCTAGGTTGTTCAAGAATTTTTAGAGAGGTCAGAGTGCCAGCCTCTGAAGCTACTATGCAGAAACAATGTCCAATATATCATAGGGTTTCTTTGAAGAAGACACCACTGCCACCACTGATCAACACTTTTGCCCCTGAGAACTAAATACCAGACACTCTACATCAAAGTACTAAACCCTCCATTACTGCTGTTGGCAAAAGAGCAAAACCCAGAATACTGCCTCACTTTGCTAAATTTTGAGTTCAGATCTTACTTGAATGCAGGTCAAATATGTTGACCATAGCTGCAAAGGAATCTAGCAACATGAGTTTATCCAGCTTAATTATTGAAAGGATGACAAATGAAAGGAGAATGTTTAGAGATATCAGGCATTTGTAGAGGATGACTCTCCACCACACTATCTTAGACTAAATCTCTGATTTTATACCCACTGAAAAATCCTCACTAATTTTCAGTACCTTTATTAAAAACATGAGTCCCACCGCTATCTTTACACTGAAGAGATCAAAATATAAGTTTCTGACCATTTAAACTTCAAATTGTTTATTTTTAATATTCCTCAAAAATAGCTCTTGAGAAAACATAATGAAGTAGGAACTAGTACGTCTTAATGAGAAACAAGTGGAACCAGTGTTATTACTAAATGACGTTAACAATCGGTGAGTCTGGGTGTGGCACAAGGAAGAAGTCTCTGTACTCTCCTTGCAAATTTCCTGTAAATTTAAAATTGTTCTAAATGTTAAATTTTACTTAATTAAAAAATGATAATAAAATAGAATCAATGAGAAATGCAGAGAGATTGAAATTCCCTTTGGCAAAAGCACAAATATATATTTTAGGGGAAGATTATTAATTATTTATATTTTTCCTGAATCAATTTCATATATGTATTATTTTGACCTTAAAAAAGGAAGGGTTTGGTTGATTAAATTATATAACCTCAATAAGCCTCCATTGTGCCTAGCACATTAGTAGATGTTCAATAAATAACTGCTTAGTAGGTGATAGAATAAATAAATGGGTATATGGATGAGGGCATAGTGAACTTTTCATATTTTGATATCATAATAAAACAAAAAAAATACAAACCAAATTAATACAGAAACTTAATGGAAAATAAGTGGGCATTTGGAAGGTGTACTTCTCCCTAGTACAAAAATAAGCTATTTCTCATAGACACTTGGAAAGAAAGATAGTACTATCTCTGTCCCCTCTTGCTATATAACATACATACATAATGAATTATATACAGAGAGGGAGAGTTGATACTATATGTATATATATATTTGTTATTACTATTTTATACAGATTACTGTTTGTGTATTTATTTAGCTAAAATTATTTACCCGGCGCCCACTGCCACTGTTTCTGGGCTGGGCTGGGTTGTGGGCCACATTTTGCACCAGGGGGTCTCAGCAGAGTCAGTTGCAATTTGGTGGGATGTCACTCCAGAGTGGTGGCGGTGCCTGTGTCCCACTTGCAGGAAACCCAGTGTTGCTTTGTGGGCACCAGGTCCGCGGTGCCGTTTCTCAGTAAATGGCCAGTGCGCATCACGGCAGCTCCTGCATCAAGTGTCTGCCCCCCTGGTGGTCAATGCACGTCATAGCTACCGGTCAGACAGACACTTAGCATATTAGCCTTTTATATATATAGATACCATTCCAGCAGGTGTGAGATGATACCTCATTGTGGATTTAATTTGCATTTTTCTGATGATTAGTGATGTTGAGCATCTTTTCATATATCTATTGGCCATCTGTATGCACTCTTTGGAGAAGTGTCTACTCTGATCTTCTACCCATTCTTTTAATTAGATCGTTTGTTTTTTTGGTGTTGAGTTATGTAAGTTCCTTATAAATTATGGAAATTAGCCCCTTATGAGATGTATCATTGGCAAATATGTTCTCCCATTCAATGGGTTATCTTTTCATTTTGTTGATGGTTTTCTTTGCTGTGCAAAAATTTTTTAGTTTGATGTAGTCCCATTTGTTTATTTTTTCTTCTGTTTCCCTTTCCCAATGAGATAGATCAGAAAAAAATATTGCTATGAGAAATATTTGAGGTTTCACTGTATATGTTTTTTTAAGGATTTTTAGGGTTTCAAGTCTAACTTTTAAGTCTTTAATCTATTTTTAGTTTATACTTGTATTTGGTGTAAGAAGATTGTCTAATTTCATTTTTGGCATGTATCTGTCCAATATTCCCAACACCATTTATTGAATAGACTAACTTTATCCATTGTATGTTTTTTGCCTCATTTCTCAACTATTAGTTGACTGTACAGATGTGTTTTTATTTCCGGGCTCTCTATTCTGTTCCATTGACCTAACATGTATTTAAGTATGTAAAGGTAGACACAACTAACCTATAGGTTAGTAGACAACATACTTTCATCTGTAAGTAGAATTAGCATGACTGTGATCATCTCAAGTGCACCTGATGCAAATATTTTGATTCAAATATTTTGAGTGGTTTTGACATTGGTAATGTAATTTCTCAAAATAGAAAACAACTCTTGGTAAAGGTCTGAATAATAACAATTATTTACTAGTGTTTTTATGTACTAGTTGTTTGCCAGAAAATTTTAGTATCATGTAAAACATACAAAAGAGTTGGTGTTTTTATATATAAAGAGTTAAGTTCCAAACTGAGGTTTGGGTTTTGCATTTTCATCAATGCCTTTGGGTCACTTTAAATCATTTGAACTGTCCGTTAGATGGTAGGGTGTCTTAATCCCTTATCTAGTCCATTGAGTGCCAAGACTGCCCTTAAAGGTTTGTTGAAGAGACCAAAATGTCCCAGAAATTGGCAGAATGTTCTGTGTTAAAAACTCTTACATTAAGCAGAAATAGGGTGCTACAGTTTTGCACATTGACATGTCAGACCTCAAATCTCATTCTTGTATATGCTATATTATTTTGCTTCATAGGTTAATGGGAGAGAGAGTATACTGTCAGAAGTCGTTAAATAATTTATGTACCATGAGCCCATTGGCAAGCTGGTGAAGACTATAAACACTTTTTTTTCCAAAATTTATTTTTAGATTCATAAGATAAAATACATAGAATTAAAATCAAACAAATTATGTTGATTTAGCTTTAGTACAGTAAAGATGGTTATAAACAATAGTTTAAATTCTATAACACATGTAATGTTATATGTAAATAACTGTGGCTTTAATGGTGAGAAATATCTCACAGATACTGATAATACTGCTGTGGTCTGGTGCCTATATTCATAATTGAAGGAAAAAAAGATGATGTTGTTTTATTAATTTTTAAATCCAACTTCAGTGATGCTCAGAACTCAGCCAATAACCCCCAGCTTAAAGACCCTTGTGCTAAAGTGAATGCATGTACAGAGTAAATTGGGATTCAGGGTTGATCATCCAAACTGGCTCCAAAAGCTATAGAAAAAGTTATAAAGAGCAGGTGACTAGTTGATACTTAAAGAATAATTAGTTAGCAGACAGAAAAGCATAAGGAACAGTATATACAAAGCCATAGTATTAAGAAAGACTGTAATATGTATGGCCAATATTAAGTAGTTTGCATAAGCAAGATAGAGAGAAAGAATCCTGGAAATGATGAATGAACTAAAACGTGCAGCTTATTGTTAAAAACAAAAGGATGTTGTTGTAAGTCTACTTGATTTAACAATATATTGTATGCTTACTGGGATTTTTAGTTTACCAAGTGGATTGTGTGATGTCTGCTTTTACAACACCCATTGCAATAAAATTAGTTTTATATTTATGATGCAGAATTTTTTAGCATAAATATGTTGTTGTAGACAACTGTTGTGAATAAGAAATAAGTCAAAATACCCCAAACAAATATTTCTGACCCAAATTTAATTATATCTAGTTTAGTTAAAGGGAATATATGGGATGGCATAGGATTTTTCTCTACTTGACATTATTTAACTAATGCAACTTTCTTCAATATCTCTGATACCTACAATATACCATGGATCGAATGGGTCAGTGGTAAATATAACTTATTATGTAGTCTATTATGCCTTCCTGGATTATACAGACTTAAAATAAGTTGCTAACATCAAATGCCATTTAGAGCGGTTATCAGTGGTTGTTAACTTACCCACATTTATTTTCAGTGAGTGCCATAACTCCACAGATCGAATCAAAGTCAGAGTGTGGGATGAAGATGATGATATCAAATCCAGAGTCAAGCAACATTTCAAAAAGGAATCAGATGATTTTCTGGGACAAACAATTGTCGAAGTGAGGACCCTGAGTGGAGAAATGGATGTCTGGTACAACTTAGGTGAGTATCTGATAAAAAGTTAAAAAATTTCCACAATATCTGTGGAATATATTCTATTCCCATATAGACAAAAATGCCTTTCTAGAAAATTCTGTTGGACTTTATGTGGTCTAGTTTCATTAGAAACAAAATGGGATAATTATTTATTCAAGTTCAGTATTATAGGAAGACATTGGTAAGTTTGAGATGAAAAGAGGAAAGTCAACGAATCAACTAGATGTATTTTAGGAGAAAAATATTAGCCCATTCTTAATTTTTAAATCAGAAAAATGTAGCTCCAAAAACCTTTGCCAAATGTAATAAAAACTAATAATCAACCTATGACTTGATACTGTTTGAGTTATTTCCTTTGGTCCCTTAATGAATTTTGGAAATAAAGGAAATGTGTATTTTAGATATTTTTCAAATGGTGATATAAATGTCATCTTTAGCTGACAAAGCCAAGTACATCTGTGAACTTACCCTTACTCTAATAATGACAATATTGAGAATATGTTTAATTGTCATGGCTGTTAAATGAAATTTTATTATGCAACCAATAATTAAATAAAGATAACTTTTAATTTTACTTTTACTATAATTGAATAATAGTCTAGAATCTTCAGTACTGACTTAATAGTAGTAAAAAATATGGATCACCTCAGTTTCTGTAAAGGACATGATCCAAAATTTCTTAATCATGTCATCTTAAATGTTTTAATTAAATTATTAAGGGCTGGTGGTGAATCAAAGAAGGGGTTACACAGTTCCAAGATTACAAAGAGTTTCCATTTAGGATATCAATATATTTTAGAAAATTGAAGAGTGCTTCTGGGTTTTTAAAAATGTGCATACTTCAAGTAATATAATATTTGACAAATAGAGAGATAAGGTCATAGAATTAATAAAACTTTAAATTATACAATAATTTAAAGAAGGAACTATATATGAGTTATCTGCACACAAAATTCAAACTACACTCAGATTTAATTATCAAAAAACTATTTTAAAGAAGTCTTCCTGAAAGAGAATTGGTGCATCCACATTACTGGCATAAAATTTTACCTCAGTTATAAGCATCATCTTCCCACATCTTATTTATACTATAAAATAGCTTTATAAATAAAAATAGAGAGGTTAGGCCAGGGTAAACTTCAGGCCATTAACTCTGTGCAATACTCACAAATTGTGTTTTAATTAAAGAGGTTTACCTATACTTGGACATTTTCCTGTAATAAGTTAGCATATCCTTGAATTGAGGCAGTTAGAATTCAGAACAGAAATTTTTCAAATTGTTTTTTGACAAAAGATAGATGGATATAATATTTGCCAAGGAATTTGAATGTGCTGTTAGTAAAGTCAGCTACCCAGCTCTCATGCTGAAAAGGCCCTTCCATCTATGGAGAGGAAAACATGATATTACACAGCATGGAAGACTTTGCCTGCTCGTCCTCAGTTTGTACTTCTTGCCCTCTTTCCTGGTTTATAAATTTTTAAAATAGGAGGGTGGAGGACAAGTTTTAGCTTTGTGTAAAATCCTTCAGTGGTTCAATCCACATAAGCACCATATTTCCATTCTTTGTATAGCGTTCTTCCTTATCACTTAGAATTCATTCCACCAGGCTGAAGAGAACTTGGCCAAAATCTGGGCATCCAAGCAGAGCCTGTGCCCCTTGAATGCATTGGGATGATGACAGTTATAGGATCAGTAGTGTTTGCCTGGCACTATGGAAAGAGCTCTGTGACAAAAAAAAAAAAAGCCCTGGGAGTTGAATTTCTCTTGGCCCCAGCAGAGAAATATATATTTATTTATTTTAATATTTGTTGAGACTCAACAATCTCTCAGCCAGCAAGAGAAACACTCATGATTCTGACATTCCTGAGGGAAGAATCTTCACAACACAGTGACTATTAAATATTAACAATAAAAAGTCAGCAGATATTTCATAAGGAAAAAAAAGTAGATTTCATAATTTAAATTTATCTCATGGCTAAAAATAGTGATACTTAGAAAGCGGGCCAATCACCACTATTTTGTGGCACTCTCCCTCCTGACACTTCATTTGTGCAATGAATGGGTCAGCTTGCCTCTCTATGTTTCATCTGTGAAGTGGGTGACAAACGTAGGTCCCCTACCTCCATTCACACTCTAGGAAATTTGTGACTATGCTTTTTTTTTTTCTCTCAAAGCTACTGATTAATATTGAACATATGTGTGTGTTTACATACACATTACTTGACTAAATTAACTACATATTGATTCCATTCAAGTAAACAGTTAATCCAAAACTCATGAGTAAGCACAGGCGGTAGACTATAGGTCTTGATGAATCACTAACAAAGAAAACAATAATTCTTCTTATGTTAGCCAGAGGTTTGACTCATCTTTTCAAGCACAGAAAGAAAGAGTAGAAGCTTTTAGATAAATTGCTTTCCTGGTTTATTTTATGTTTAAGTTATATTGCTTTTAATTGGCAAAATAATTTAATTTTAGGGATATTCTAACCAGTACCCAGACATTTATCTCAGAATGGCAAGGTCTTCTGATTAAGCTTTTCTATATGAAGTATCTATAATGTAGTTTGACAATCACAGTGACACAATAGGCACATTACTTTAAGTCGTATTCAGCAAAATCTTTATGGTGGGATAATCAAACCTGATCTAGAAGAATGGCTTTTAGCAATGTAAGCCCCCTTTAAGCCTCTCAGAACTTGTATGTGAAATATGGGATTATCACAAGTGACCAACCAATTTCTTTTTGCTTTGTCAGAGAAACGGACAGATAAGTCAGCTGTATCTGGGGCCATTCGATTGAAAATCAATGTGGAAATAAAAGGAGAGGAGAAGGTTGCTCCATATCATATACAATATACATGTTTACATGAGGTAAGAAACTGGAATTGCATTACTAAAAATCCTAGAAAAGAAATTGGTCTGGATTGTGAATCATACAATAAAAATTTTGGTTTAAAATATATAATTGAGTTAGCTTTGTGGAGTTCTTACTCTATCCAGTGGTTCTCAACCTTCCTAATGCCGCAACTCTTTAATACAGTTCCTCATGTTGTGGTGATCCCCAACCATAAAATTATTTTCATTGCTACTTCATAATTGTAATTTTGCTATGGTTATGAATCGTAATGTAAATATCTGGTATGCTTTATGTGTTTTCCGATGGTTGAGACCCACAGGTTGAGAACCACTGCTCTATACTCTAGCAGTAAGGATGCAGGTGGGTGTCCTCTAATGGGAGTTTAGAACAAGCACATGTGATGGGTATGAATAAACAAGTCAATGAGATAATGAACTAATAGACCAAATGAAATTACCATTCTTGCAAGAAGAACAAAGAATGTTAAAAAGCACTTATTGCAAAAATAAGTCATGGTGAATATTTTGGGAGCATAGTAGTACTCTAGTAATGAAGATAATGAAGAGAGGATCTAATAAATGAATGTTTTTTGAGAACTCTGAGTTAGTGTTGAAGGTCTAATTAATAATACTGTTTACAAATAGAAATATAAAATGCTGATGTTGTACCAAAGGATTTGGGAGCCAGTGTAATAAGTGTAATAAGCAATAATTTTTTCTTCCTTTTTCTGAGTACAACAAAGGGCTTCATACATATTGGACCCTCTGCATTTTATCTACCCTTTCCACAAACATATCTGGGTATGAGAGTGTCAGAATGTAGTTACCCACTCATAGTAGTAGACAATATACCCACCCAAAAGGTAGGGCCTGGCTGGGTTAGAGAGAAGTAAAGACCACCCTATGTGATTCTAACAGGAAGATTCACCAGTTCCTTTTTGTGTCTTGGTGTAGATATACAAATAATCTTGGGCTTCTAGTGGATGCTTTGCATCAGAGAGCTTAGTTAGAGGTGTTACAAAACCATTCTCTGATACAAATGACACTTGTCCCGTGTATAAAAAAAAATACCAGGAGAAATTGAGGAATGTACCTTTCCCTATATCCAAAGAGGTAAAGAGAAAGTACCCTAAGATGAAAAACAAGCTGAGAGAATCTTCACATATTATTTTTTTCTAAATATCTATAAATATTTATGTGCAATTATTTGCACCTCCATTTACTAAAGAAGAAATGAGGAACAGTATTAAATCTTTTATTTATTAAACAGTAATTAGATATAGGACATAGGCCTAATTTCCTGACTACTATCCATCCAGTGTTATCATTCCTTCAAGAAAGGTGGTTAAGTTTTCAGACCAATAAAAAAAAAATCCTGGAACTGGCAAGATGGGAGCCTTAAGAAGTGGGCAGAGAAGATTTGGATCAGGGGGACAGCATTATGCTTTGCTCTTTGGAGACTTACCTGCTGGTAAAAGAACAATAACAAAACAAAAAAACAAAACAAAACAAAAAAACCACCTAAAATCCAAGAAAGGCTCCTTCAGGCTACATCCATGCAGCAGTTTCTAAACTTGTTAGAAACAGAAGAAATTCTATGTAGTGAGATTTCCGATTATAGAATTCTCAAACATGCATTTCAACCTCAGTTCATTGCCCTGATTCTGTAACATTTTGCAGCAAAAGCCCTTTAGTATCATTTACATACCTAGATTCTGTATTAACACAGCCAAAATCAGATTATTCAACCAGGGCTCTAAAATTTACTCAGAGCCCATGAGTGCAAAATATGTTCTAGCATTTAGAAATGTTTGCATGTAAAACTTTTTACTTTCTTCTAAAACAATTGGGTACATATGAAACATTTTAGTTATTGATCCTGTATAGACCCAGGGAGAAATATAATCAGAACTTGCATAAATTTGATGTTAGAATTAAGATCCAAGCTATTCCTATTGCGTACAGATACTGATGAAACATTAGAGGCAATCACAATGCAAGTATAATTTACTGAAAGTTACAGTTAAATACTTTTGGCCTACTCTAATGAATTACTGAACAATTGAAAACCACTTACTTTTAGAATCTGTTCCATTACTTGACTGAAGTGAAATCTAATGGTGCAGTGAAAATCCCAGAGGTCAAAGGGGATGAAGCCTGGAAGGTTTTCTTTGATGATGCTTCCCAAGAAATAGTCGATGAGTTTGCCATGCGCTATGGGATTGAATCCATTTATCAAGCTATGACGTAAGTACCATAGAACATTTATGTGCTCAAAAATCTCTGTTGAGATCTTAAAAACACACACATTCATAGCTCTTCTTCTAATTTAATTGAAATTTTGATGTAAAAGACAATTACATTTTCATGGGCCATTTTAGTGTACCCTCTCTTTTACAGCTATAAAATATTAATGATGTGGTAATTCACTACCACTATCTTCTCAGGCTTTTATTTTGTTCTCAAAGTGTGGCCCCTGCACTACCAGCATTCACAGCACCTCAGAACTTAGAAATGCAAATTTACCACCCTACCCCAGACCTAATGAATCAGAAACCTGAGGGTGGGGCCCAATGATCTTTGCTTTAACAAACCCTACAAGTAATTGTCATACACTCTGAAGTTTGAGAACCAGTGCCTTGTTTGATATCTGAGAAAGTTAAAGCCTGATGATTGAAGTGCATGATCCAAGGTAATAAAGCTTATTAATGTCCAGGATACATCTAGAGCAGTGGTTCTCCACCTTGGCTGCACATTAAAATCACCTGGGAATCTTTTTAAAATCCTGATTTCTGGGCCTCATCCTCCGGAAATTCTGTTTCTTTGTTATGGGGTGGGGCCACAATGGCAGCAGCAGGCAAGCAAGCTACCAAGGACAGGGGTGTAAGAGTGAGCACCTCCTGCCAACCCAGAAACTCTTGGGTGGGGCCACAACATTAGTAACAAAGAAACAGAATTTCCGGAGGATGAGGCCCAGAAATCAGGATTTTAAAAAGATTCCCAGGTGATTCTAATGTGCAGCCAAGGTTGAGAACCACTGATCTAGAGCCTTTATAATGCCTTAACCCTAACATTAGACTATATCATTCCTGCCTACATTGATATCATTGATGCTAATTCAGTGAAACCAAGATTTATTGAGCACCCATAGAACCCAAAAACCACAGTAAATATGGCACTACAGAAATGAGCCATACAGACATATAACCTTTCAGTAAGGATTTAGAATTGGGTTAATACTTGCCTATTCTTTACCATTTGAAACCTGGTCTAAGTTTGTAACTGCATTTTGTTCAGATATATTCTGTATATAATATGTAAACTATTTATGTACGAATAGTAGAGGGCTGTTCTTTTATATTAATGATCTGATTATATTTTCACATGAGCTGTGTAGATAGTGGCCCAGATAATCAGTCATTTTCAAACACCTTATTGATGGATGTGTACTGAACCAAAATCAGTGTTCTTCATCAAAGTTTACTATTCATAGCATTTAAACACCAGTCCTAATTCTAGAATAGCATATGTAAATTTCTTTAAAATTTCTGATAAAATGTGTGCTTTTTCAGTTTACAGAATGTCCTAATCTATACTAATAAAAGAGTAATATGCTAATTAGTCCAAGTCAACCAGACATCTTCTGGTTGTCCAGTCCTCCTTCCGGACAAAGCCACGGGGGTAGGGGCCGAGGCAGAGGCAGTTAGGGGCGATCAGGCAGGCAAAGGCAGTTAGGGGCGATCAGGCAGGCAGGCAGGTGAGCCATTAGTAGCCATTGGTCCCAGATTGTGAGAGGGATGTCTGACCAGTTGGACATCCCCTGAGGGGTGCTGAATTGGAGAGGGTGCAGGCCGGGCTGAGGGAACCCCCCCCCCCCCCATGCACAAATTTCATGCACCAGGCCTGTAGTGTTAAATAATAAAGACTTACAGATTCTTAGCCGCAATATGAAAAAGAACTTAGAATTTACCCAGGTGAACCTCCCTCAAAATCCCTATTACTGCATCCTTGACTGGTAGTCATTATCCCTCTGCTCGCTCACGTCCACTGGCAGGGCTCTTGCTCCTTTAGATGCAACCTATTTGTAAGTGAGTAGCCATAATGGAGTCTGTGATTTGCCATCTGCTCTGTCCCAGGTCAATGGCTGTAATAATTCATCAGGACACCTTCTATAAAATTTGAGTGCAATTAAAATACACTCTAAAGTAAGTGAAGTGTTCTGCCAAAAGAGACCTATGCTTAAAATAAAATTAAAAATAAATTTTAAAAAACACCCGGAAATAATCCCAGTAAAAGAAAGATATTTATTATAAAATATCTCTGTGTGTTGATTCAGATTTCTTTAGTTTTATATTTCTTGTATTCTGAGAAGCACAGTTATGTTAATACAGAAAAAAATGGTAAATGTATGATAGTTTAAAAGAGGAGAATCACCCCTCCTTTGTTTTTATCACTTGTATTTTTCTTACCCTTTAACATATGTAAACAACAACAGATGATATTTCTAGATACTTATTGATATCAAGTGACCTGCAGGTGACTAGGGTCCTATAATATATCTGAGAACTCAGTTTTGACAAAGCTCCTGTCACTCTAGGAACTAGTCTAAAGCAGGAGTCGGCAAATTTTTTTTCTATATACAGCCAGATAATAAATATTTTCTGCTATGTGAGTCCTAAAATCTCTGTCATAACTGCTCAACTCAGCACTCCTAGTGCAAAAACAGCCAAAGACATTAAGTAAACAAATGGGTATGGCTGTATCCTGATAAAACTTTATTTTAAAAACAAAAACTATGGACTGTGTTTGGCTGTGGGCACTCGATTGCCAACTGCTGGTCTAAAGAGGGAAAGCAAGGCAGACAGGCCGGAGGAAAAATAATGCCTGGTTTTTGTGTGATAAATTGACCGTTGCACTTTGATGATAACACAATGTGGTAGATTATCTCTACTTGTGGTTATACATTTGATTTGATATTGATATTTTTATTTTTAAAATGTTTCTTTTAGTGTTAAATATGAACCAAAATGGCCTTAACATTTCCCTCAGCTGGGCACAACTCTAGGCCTCTTTCTTCCTGTCGGCCCCTGCTCTCCCCCTCACCTTTGTCCTTGCAGAATCCAGAGCCCTAACAACAGAGGCTCTAACCTCCCTTTTCTTAGAGCATTTCCTTGGAAACCTTAGAATTGTAAATTCTTTCTCTTTTAAGATGTAAACTTTTAAAAAGACACTTGCCAGTTTTACACCCCAGGGCTGGCTTTCTCAAGGATATGGGAGAGCCAGAGCTTTTGAATATAATCATCAAGAAAATAGGCCCCTGTGCCCAGTCTCCACGGAGGGTTTCTAACTTGGGTTGGGGCCTTGCCCCAAGTTGTAATGCTCCCTCCTGTCATGAGGGTAAGAGAACGTTTATTTTTCCTTTGGGTAAGGCCAATTTGCAAATACAGATGACTAGGATTCCTCTACTCTAACTCAGAATCCCTACCCTCCATTCCCCACCTCAGGTCTTGAAATCTTTTCCTTCATTTATGTCAGTAGAGTTGAGTTCAGACTGAATTCTGGATTTTCTTTCATTGAAGAAAACTTTCCTAATTCTGTCCACTGTCATTTTTGCTTTGACAGCACACACCTGACACCATAGATATTTATTGCAATATTGACTATATTCCCTTAGCTCTAATGTACATCACCATGATTAATATTATGACTGGAAACTTTTACTTCTTCATTTCTTCACCTTTTTCAACCATCATTCTAACCTCCTTCCATCTGGCAACCATCAATATGTTCTCTGTAGCTATGAGTTTGTTTCTGTTTTGTTAGTTTGTTTTGTTTTTTAGATTCCACATATAAATGCAATCATATGGTATTTGTCTTTCTCTATTTGACTTATTTCACTTAGCATAATACTCTCTAGGTCCATTCATGTTGTTGCAAATGGAGATTTTATTATTTTTAGGACTGGCTAATATTCCATTGTATATTTATACCACATCTTTTTTATTCATTCATCTATCAATGGACAGTTAGATTGCTTCCATATCTTGGATATCCTATCTAATAATAGACAAACATGGTAATTAACTGTAACTTCGCTACCCTTCCCATTGGCTAATTGGCGATATGCAAATTAACTGCCAACCAAGATGGCGGCCGGCAGCCAGGCAGCTGAAGGGAACAGGAGGCTTGCTTGCTCCAGTGACAGAGGAAGCCAACGTTCCCCGCCTGCCGCCGCCCAGCTCTGAGCTGCACTCTAAGCAACTATGTTGCAATTATAGAAGCTAAACAAACCTGCTTCAGCCAGCTTCGACCTCAGAGCTTAGAGCGGCAGTGATGGCAACAATGTTTCAATTATAGAAGCTAAACAAACCCAGATACCTGCTTTCAGCCAGCCACAGCCTCAGAGCTGGAGCTGGGCCTCAGAGCTGGAGCTGGCTCTCAGCTCCAGTGACAGCCATAGAAGGTAAATAAATCCCAGAATAAAAAAAAAAAAAGAAAAAAAGGAGAGCTTGGGAGCTTCAGTCACCCGCCAGCCTGAAAACAGCCCTCAGCCCCTTACCCAGACTGGCCAGGCACCCCAGTGGGGACCCCCACCCTGAAGGGGGTGTGACCAGCTGCAAACAGCCATCATCTCCTCACCCAGGCTGGCCAGGCACCCAAGTGGGACCCCCACCCTGATCCAGGACACCTTCAGGGCAAACCAGCCGGCCCCCGCCCGTGCACCAGGCCTCTATCCTATATAGCAGGGGTCCTCAAACTTTTTAAACAGGGGGCCATTTCACTGTCCCTCAGACCGTTGGAGGGCCAGACTATAGTTTAAAAAAAAAACTATGAACAGATTCCTGTGCACACTGCATATATCTTATTTTGAAGTAAAAAAACAAAACGGGAACAAATACAATATTTGTATTTGCATGTGGCCCGCGGGCCGTAGTTTGAGGACCCCTGCTATATAGTAAAAGGGTAATATGCAAACTGACCCTAACAGCAGAAGGACTGGGAATGACTGGTCACTATGACACACACTGACCACCAGGGGGCAGACGCTCAATGCAGGAGCTGCCCTCTGGTGGTCAGGGCGCTCTCACATGGGAGGAGTTCTGCTCAGCCACAAGCCAGGCTGATGGCTGCCAGTACAGCGGTGGTGGTGGGAGCCTCTCCTGCCTCCTCAGCAGCACTAAGGATGCCCGACTGCAGCTTAGGCCTGCTCCCCGCTGGCAAGTGGACATCCCCCGAGGCTGCCGGGC